AGTTTCTGTTTGATTAAAGCCCGCTGTTGCAGCGCAGCCATGGTTTACATCCAGCACACTGTTTTTATTGGATTGTAGGATTTAAAAGAAAACGGAACCAAACAAGAGGAGCCCTGGTGTGGTCCTGCCCCAGGAGTGAGTGAGGGCTGAGTACAGAGCTCTGGGATTGTGTTTGTGAGCTCACTGCCCGTGCCTGGCACTGTTTGTGGGGATGGTTTTGGTGGGTTTGTCCCAATAGAACCAATGTGCAGAAGGGACCACGGTGCTGCACTTCCACCCCAACAAAAGGCAGCGTTCTGCAGCAGCAGGATTAAAGGGAACAGCCCAGAATTCCTGGGAAAGCATTTTTATAGGGAAAGCCCTTCCCAGTGCCCTCCCTGCCCTGAAGAGCCCCCTGTGCCCTCCCCAGGCTGGCTGGGCTGTCAGAACATCTCTGCTAATGAAGCAGTCTGGCCTGGGGCTGCTCCTGCTGCCCTCCCCATCCCTGGCAGCAGCTGGGAGGGGAGGACAGACCCAGGGAAGCGCGGCTGTGGCACAGCCCTGGTGGCCCCGAGGCTGGGGACAGCCCGAGGGACGGCTCCGGCTGCCTCGGGAGCTGCTGGGGCGGCTCCCTGCTCTCCTCCCTGCCCTTTGTGGGAGAGGGTTGGGCTGTGGGTGGGACCTGCTTGTGGATGGGTTCGTGGATGGGATCTGTTTGTGGATGGCATCTGTTTATGGATGGGTTTATAGATGGGATCTGCTTGTGGATGGGTTTGTGGATGGGATCTGCTTGTGGATGGGTTTATAGATGGCATCTGTTTGTGGATGGGTTCATGGATGGGATCTGCTTGTGGATGGGTTTGTGGATGGGATCTGCTTGTGGATGGGATCTGTTTATGGATGGGTTTATAGATGGGATCTGTTTGTGGATGGGTTTGTGGATGGGATCTGTTTGTGGATCAGTTTATGGATGGGTTTATGGATGGATCCAGGAGCTCTGGATGGAACCTGTGCTGGATTCCTGCAGGGACAGGAGCTCTGGATGGATCCAGGAGCTCTGGAAGGAATCTGTGCTGGATTCCAGCACAGACAGGAGCTCTGGATGGATCCTGCAGGCACAGGATCCATGTGGATGGATCCAGGAGCTCTGGATGGAATCTGTGCTGGATTCTGGATGGAATCTGTGCTGGATCCTGCAGGGATCCAGGAGCTCTGGATGGATCCTGCAGGCACAGGAGCCTCTGGATGGGTCCAGGAGCTCTGGAAGGAATCTGTGCTGGATTCCAGCACAGATAGGAGCTCTGGATGGATCCTGCAGGCACAGGATCCATGTGGATGGATCCAGGAGCTCTGGATGGAATCTGTGCTGGATTCTGGATGGAATCTGTGCTGGATCCTGCAGGGATCCAGGAGCTCTGGATGGATCCTGCAGGCACAGGAGCCTCTGGATGGGTCCAGGAGCTCTGGATGGAACCTGTGCTGGATTCCTGCAGGAACAGGAGCTCTGGATCCCTCTCTGGGCTCAGGGTGCTCACCTCACAGGTAGCTGGGTTTCTCTCTCCTCCCAGCCTCAACCTGTCTTTCCTGTATCTGCCATGAGGGCCTGCCCCTGCAATCAGGTTTTAAAACAGCTCAAAGGACCTTTGATGTGAGTTAGAAACTCAGGGGTTTGCTGAAACACATGTAAATAAGTCACATCTAGGAAGTTTCCCTTCTTTTATTGGCTGAATAGTGGAGGAATGTCCAGGATAAGGAATTTGTCCCTGAAACTGGTGGTAGGATGTGGAGGAAATCTTTCTCCCTTAAGTGTAAGAGCTGTGCTTGGAGCATTATCTCCACTTAGGAAGCACTCTCTGGCACGGGTAACTCTGGCAGTTGTTGGCACATTGACCTGAGAGAGAGGTTTTGTTTCAATCCCAGGTGATGTATCCCAGAGGTGGGGAAGGAATGCTGAGAAATGATCGCCATTTACTCTGTTTGCTGTGGCAGTGAGCAAATTAAGACTCATGCTTTCACTTTGCCGGGTGCCCTGGAAACACACAACAACAAAAAGCTCAGAGAGAGAGATCCCTGCCCCAGACTGGGAACCTGTTCCAGTCTGGGGAGTGTGCAGAGCAAACCTGGCTCCCCTCTCTCCACATGTGCCTGGATTTGCGTGCTGCTCTCTGATCTGCTCCCCAGGGGTGAATCTGTTTACACTAATCCCAGAAGCTCTGCTATTAGAGACTGGAGCTGAGCAGCTCCGGGCTCTGCTGGGAGCTCAGAGCTCTGCTCTCTGCAGGCAGGAGCCCTCAGTGACCCCAGTGCTTGGCACGGGGATGGCATCAGTCCCAGCCTGTGCCTCTTGCACCCCCAAACTTCCCTGAGATCTGCCGGAGCATCTTCCCCGTGTGGGAGAGGCTCCTGCAGGATGGAGCCTGTCCTGCTCTCCTGTCACCCCTCCTGGAGCAAACACGGGGCCTTCCCTTGGAGAGCCTGTGGCCAAGCTGTCCCTGCCCTGAGGTGGAAGGGTAACAGCCCTGATGGCTGTAAAGGAAAGAAGCTTCGAGAAAAAATCCCCACTCCCTTAAAGAGTGCAAGGAAGTCAGGCCCAGGAAGCTCCAAAGGAGATGGAGTCAAGGGAAGGCTGAGGAAGAACCCAAGGCTCTCAAGAGCCCAGTGCAGTTGGATGTGATAGAATGAAGGTTTCTGGAAGCCAAGAGTGAGCCCCTCTCACCACACAGCCCCTCTGCCCTCCATCCAGGATGCTCTGGCTGCCACAGCAATGTCTGTGTCTCCCACAGCCTCTCCCAAGCATTCTCCTTGGATCATTAGGTGATAATAGAAAGTGATTTTCCCCCTGTCATCTCAGGCAATCAGGAGCATTAAGAATAAGAGCCTAAGCCTGAAAGCCTCAATGAGAGGGTTTGATGGGTCTGTGGATGTGCCTCCTTCATCAGAGCCAAAGATGGATCCCAGAGCTGGAGCTCCTGGGGGATAAAATGGCACAAAACAAGGACGGTGCAGGGAGCTCAGCAATGGCCCTGCCAGCTGTGCCAGGGGCTGCTGGCACACAGCAAAGCCGCTCCTCACCGGCTGCAGGGCAAGGCCAGTCTGTCCCCAGCCCGCCCTGCAGGAAGGTAAGTCAGGGGACACGGCCTGGGACACACTGGGAGCTCTGTGTGCTGCTGCGAGCTCTGAGGCAGCGCTCACACACAGCTCCCGCTGCTCTGCCACTGCCAGGGACTCGTGGGCACATTTATTGTCCCGTGGGTAGGGGGATAATTTATTGTTGTTGCCATCCTGGGTAGGATTCCTCCTGCCCATTGGATCCCACTTTGGCATCCAGAGGCAGGGAACTCCATCCTGCTGAGGTGACACATCCCTGTGACAACCACACAGCTTCATTTTGGGCCACCTCGTCCTCTTGGGGCAGTTCCACATGGACATTGTGCTGTGCCTGCCACAGCTTGTGACAGAAAAAAATTCACCTCGTGTGTCCTTCTGTCCATCCATGGATCCATCCCTCCATGGATCTGTCCCTCCATCCATGGATTCATGGATCCATCCATCCCTTGATCTCTCTATCCCGCGATCCATCCATCCATGCATCCATGGATCTATCCACATCCATCCATCCCTCCATCCATCCATCCATCCATCCATCCATCCATCCATGGATCTATCCACATCCATCCATCCATCCATCCATCCATCCATCCATCCATCCATCCATCCATGGATCTATCCACATCCATCCCTCCATCCATCCATGGATCTATCCACATCCATCCCTCCATCCCTCCCGGATCCAGCTCCCATCGGCCGGGCACTGCCAGCCCCGTGCCCGGGGGTTCCGGGGGGTGGCACAGCGAGTCCCGGCCGTGTCCCCGCGGGTCTGTGTCCCCCCGGTGGCCCCGGGCAGGCTGATCCGGCGCTGGCCCCGCCGTCCGTCGCTCACCCCCTCGCCGCCGCCGGCGCGGCGCTTCCCAGCGCCTCCGCTGTTTAAATGGGCCAAGTTAGAGAAGCGGCGGCGGCGGCGGAGGGAAATCTTGTTTGGTCGGAGTCTCCGAACTGTGCGGTGACTTCTGAGCCCCGATCAATGCGTGTCTGTCCCGGCTCGGGGGCCCGGCCCGGCCCGGGAGCTGCGGGGAGCGCAGCGCTGGCGGGGACGGCTCTGTAGATGTCCGTGCGGCCGTGCGTGTGCGGAGCGCTTGTATTTATAGATCTATATATTTATATACGTGTGCACACAGAGGGGCGAGGAGCGCAGCCCCGCGCTCGGGCACGCTTCCTGCGGGAGCGGGGATTCAAACGCGGGGAGCGGAGCGGCTCCGCCGGGAGCGGGGCGAGGCCGCGGCGCAGGTGGAGGGAGGCGGCGGCCCCGGGGAAAGTTCGCCGCCGCCCGGGCGTCTGGAGCCCCGCGGGCAGCGCCGGCCCCGGCCGCGGCTCCGTCCTCCCGCCGGGCGCCGGCGGGGCGGGGAGGGGGCGCGCGGCGGCGGCGGGGGCGCAGCGTTTAATTTTAATTATTGCATATAAATAAATAAACCAGGTGTCAGTTTAAAGGAAGCGGGGGGGCAGGGTGAAAGGGGGCTGGCTGGCTGGCTGGCTGGGCGGCGGGGAGCCCTCCAGCCTGGCGAGAAGGTGGGTTGATCTAGGGGAATCAATAAGCTTTTTTTTTTTTTTTTTTTTCCTCCTTACACCAAAATAATGTCTACGGCAGCAGAGACCTCTCCGAGATGTCAGGTATTAGTCCGGAGGGGCAGATCTGCGAGGCACACGGCAGCTCCCGGGTCTACGGTCCATTAGGCTCTCCGTGGGAGAGGGATCCCGGACAGCTCTGCTGGGGGACCAGCCCAGGAGATTTGTTAGCGGGCTGCTCCGGGGGATACCAGCCACCTCCGGCACCCGAGCGCCAAAGGTGCCCGTGCTGCTGCTGCTGCTGCTGCTGGCGCATTTCGGCCAAACTCCAGCCGGAGCCGGGGCAAGTTGAGCCGGAGGCGTTGCAGCCGCTGTGCTTCGGAGACGCCGGGGCGCACGGGGAGCGCGGCGGCACCATGCCTGCCATCAAGAAGGAGCGACTTGACAGGGAGGAGATGGCCCTGGCGGCTTTCAACCAGCCCATGGAAACCCTGCCCGAGTACCTGGCGCCCCTGGCCGCCGCTGCCATGCCGGTGGTCACCCCGCACCCGCCGGCGTACGAGCACATCTTCGCCCACCGCGCGTACCTGGGCTTCCAGGAGCCCCACCCGCACCACCCCCAGCACCTCCCCGAGGACCTGATGCTGGAGAGGTTCTCCTCCATCCCGGATTTCCAGCCCTTCTTTGACAACGGGGAGCCTTGCATCGAGGTGGAGTGCGGGGAGAACAAGGCGCTGCTCTACATCAATAAGTTGTGCCAAGGGAGCAAAGGACCCTCCATCCGGTACCGGGGAGAGTGGCTCACCCCCAACGAGTTCCAGTTCGTCAGCGGCAGGGAGACGGCCAAGGACTGGAAGCGCAGCATCAGGCACAAAGGTAAAGGCAGCGCCGGGGTCCCCGCGCCGCCTCGCTCCTCCTCGCATCCTCCCTCTCGCCCCGTGCTCGGGCAGAACCGAGCCCCCTCCCCGCTGCCCCGGCCCCTCTCTGCGGATCGCCGCGCCGCGGTACCGCCGAACTTTTCCGAGCCATTTGGGAACGCTTCCCTTTGGGGTGGGGTTGGCTTTTGGGGAAGGCGGGGGGGATCTGGGGGGCTCCTCTCCGCCGGGGAGAAGTTTGATGTGGCGCGGGGGGGAGAGAGATTTGAACAGCGGGCGGGTGGCGGGGTGCGCGCCCCGGGGCTTGGGGTGCCCGGGGTCTCGGGGTGCTCGGTGCTTGGGGTGGTCTGTGCCCGGGGTTCGGGGGGCTCGGTGCTCGGGGTGCTCGGTGCCGGGGGCTCGGGGCGGTCGGTGCTTGGGGAGCTCGGTGCCCCGGGGTTCGGGGCGCTCGGTGCGGTCGGTGCCAGGGGCTCGGGGGGCTCGGTGCGGTCGGTGCCAGGGGCTCGGGGGGCTCGGTGCCCCGGGGCTGTCGGTCTGTCGGTGGCCCCCTGCCCTCCCTCCCTCCCTCCCGCCGCCCCTGCGCGCCGCCGGCGGTGTCGGTGTCGGCGGCGGCGGCGGCGCCGCGGGGAGCGGCAGCGCGGCCCGGGCCGGCACCGGCGGGGCGGCGGGCGGGGCTCGGGGGTGTTCCCCTCGCAGCTGGGTGGTGCGGGCCCTCCGCGGCGCCGGCGGCTGCTGACGGGCGCCTGCCCTGCCTCCCTCCCCTCCCCGCCCGAGCCGGCGCCGCAGTCGCGGCTCCGCTGCCGCCGCTGCTGCTGCGGGCGGCAGGTGGAGAGCGGGCCCGGGGGGAGCGGCGGGGGCGGGCGGGCACGGCCCGGGCGGCTCCTGATGAGCGCAGGGCTGGAGGCGGCGGCCCGGGGGGCTGAGGAGCGATTAGGAGGTGACTGACACCTCGGCGCGGTATCGATCGCCGGGGAGCGGGGGCCGCGCTAATTGCCGCCGCCCGGCGCTCTGATGGCTGCGCGCCCGCTGCCTTCGGGAAGCCTCAGCCGCTCTGGGGTGAGTCAGGAGGAGCGGCGGGAGGTGCCCGGGGCCGTGCCCGCTGCGGGGGCTGCGGAAGCTGCGGGAGCGCCTCCGCTTCCCCGGGGCTGCGGCAGCGCCGGCACCGAGCCCGGCGGGGCTAAGGGGGCTGTGCGGGGCTCCCCTACCCGGGACCCTCGGGGGCTGTGCGGGGCTCACCTTCCTGAGACCCTCGGGGGCTGTGCGGGGCTCCCCTTCCTGAGACCCTCGGGGGCTGTGCGGGGCTCCCCTTCCTGAGACCCTCGGGGGCTGTGCGGGGCTCCCCTTCCTGAGACCCTCGGGGGCTGTGCCGGGCTCCCCTTCCCGGGACCCGCGGGGATTGTACCCGGCCGTGCCGGGCTCCTCTCCCTGGGACATGCGGGGATTGTACCGGGCCGTGCCGGGCTGTGCCGGGCTCCCCTTCCCCGGGACCCGCGGGGGTTGTACCCGGCCGTGCCGGGCTCCTCTCCCCGGTTCCTGCCGGGGCCGTGCCGGGCTGTGCTGGGCTCCCTTTCCCCGGGACCCTCGGGGCACAAACTCGGTTGCATTGCAGTCGGGGATGGTGCTGCTGGGCAGGCAAGGGGAGGGCTGTTTATATGGGAGCAAACTCGTGCCTCCCCCGTCCCCCCTTCCCTAAATACTTTCCTTTTATAAACGTGCTGATTTCTTTTTTTTTCTTCTGTTTTTTTCTCCCCTTCTGCATCTAGGGAAAAGTTTGAAGACTCTTATGTCCAAAGGAATCTTACAGGTACATCCTCCAATCTGTGATTGCCCTGGGTGTCGAATTTCGTCTCCAGTGGTAAGATTATTGTTAAACTATGTGCTTTGGTTAAGACATCTTCCCTCTCCTCTGCCTCCTTCCCTTAAAAAAAAAAAAAAAAAAAAAAAAAGAAAAATTCCCTTTGCTCTTCTATGCTGGTGGAACCGTGAGGGTCGTGGAGGCTGCCAGAGCCCTGCCTGCCCTGGGAGGGTTCCTGCAGTGTTAGAGAGGAGCTTGGAAGCAGAGCAGACGGCAAGAAGAGCAGTGTTTGAGCTGAAGGAAGCAGCACTCGGTGGCATTTTTTGGTTTTCAGGGGGAGCTCTGTGTGTGTGCAGAGGCAAATCATTGAGGAGCCGCTTTGGTGTTCCCACCCCTTGGTTTCTGTGCATTGTGCACAGGTGTGAAAGTGGCTAAATAAAGCAAAAGGGAAATGTAATTGTAGCCCACGTGTTAGAGTGAGAGGAGGCCTTGTACAAACCGTGGTGAGGTGAGCTGCATGAGGAACAACTCAAATGCTGACAGCTTGAGCGTCGTTCATGGCATAGCTCACTTATGGCTTTTGTAGATCTTTCCTTCCCAGATTTGGGGTTCCTTGTGTATTCTTGCTTTTATCCTGAGAATTTCAAAGTCTCTCATCAGCATTTTCATAGGAAAGATGTTGATGGTATAAATAAAAGGTGACTGGAATTGTAGTAAAGTAAGGCCTTAAAACAGTTCATGGTGTGTAAAAATAACCATAAAGTACAATAACTGGGAGGGCAGAAGCAGCTCTTGGTCTGAAAGAGCAACAACTTAAAACATTGCCAGTAGCACTGTGGAAACAAATACAGGTGGAAATTTACGTGATTTTATCCACTGGAAATCATCCATTTTTGGTTTTGTTGCTTGCTTGGGCTGGAGTGGGCAGTCTGTGCTCAGATGCAGCGTCTGTGATTGGAAAGGACAGAGCTGGGAGTTCCAGTCCTGCCTGGTGCCTCTGTGTTACAAACACCGCGGGAAAGGGTTCAGAGCAGTAACCCAGAGCTCAGAAATGAACGGGGAGATGTGCCCTGCCTGTGTGGTGTGGCACAGCCACCCACAGCCCTGCCTGGTGTTTGACCCCACTGTGCTGGGACCTGGCTCTCCCCAGCCCCGGCAGTGGGGGGCACAAGGTGGGATGGGGTGTGAGCAGCTCCCTCCAGCTGGGAGTTCTGTCTGTCTGTCTGTCTGGTCACTTGTGTGGCTCAGAGCCAGAATCTGCCGGTGCCAGGGGTGTGCTGTGGTGAGGGGATGTGAGCAGTGCCAGGCCAGGTGATGCTGTGGGATGTGAGCAGTGCCTGGCCAGGTGATGCTGTGGGATGTGAGCAGTGCCAGGCCAGGTGATGCTGTGTGGGGATGTGAGCAGTGCCTGGCCAGGTGATGCTGTGGGATGTGAGCAGTGCCAGGCCAGGTGATGCTGTGTGGGGATGTGAGCAGTGCCTGGCCAGGTGATGCTGTGTGGGGATGTGAGCAGTGCCTGGCCAGGTGATGCTGTGTGATGTGAGCAGTGCCAGGCCAGGTGATGCTGTGTGGGGATGTGAGCAGTGCCTGGCCAGGTGATGCTGGCTGCTGGGTGTTTTCTGGGCTAGCAGTACCCAAAATTCACGATGCACTTTCCTAGCAGCAGCATTTTCAGGGTTTTCAGGTGAATTTCCGGCACAGACAGCTCTGCATGAAGCCAGTGTGTGGTACAGTATTTGAGAACTGGGTTTGGAAAGTGTAGATAGAGGGGAAAATGAGGTTGGTGCAGCTTTGGGCAAGGAGAAATAAATCTTTCTGGATTTGCCTCCCACTGCTTCCCTAGCTGGAAAAGGGGTTTAGGATGTCAGAATTTGCACAGCAAGGCCAGAGCCCAGTGAGGAGCTCTGTCAGAGCTGTTTCTCAGTGCTCCCTGCACTTTCTGTGCTGTGCTTCGCTCCTGTCCCTCACCAAAGGACAGTTCCACGTTTCGAACCTGAATTCTTTGTGGTAGCTGCATCCACTGCCCATCCAGAGCAGCCACACAAGGAGGAGGATTAGGAATTTGGCATGGTTTTTATTTCCCCATTTAGTGATTGCCCATTCGAGCACCGCTGAGATCCAGGGGCTGATTCTCCTCAGAAGTAGAAATGCTTTATATTTCATAGTGCAGTGACAGAGACTTGCAGTGCCCGGTCCTGGTGTGATCGGTGGGGCTGTGCAGATGGGGAGCTGGTGCTGTCTGCTGCTGCTGCCACGCTCTGCAGTCGGTCCTTGGGCAGCGGGGATGGGCCGGCAAAACCGGGGCAGTGCCGTGGCAGGGTCGGCACCTCTGCGTGATCCATCAGCCCATCGGGCAGCAAAGGCAGCGCTGTGCTCCGGGCTGAGCCCTGCGGGAGCGGTGACAGTGTCCCCCGTGTGCGTGTCCCCCGTGTGCGTGTCCCCCGTGTGCGTGTCCCCCGTGTGCGCCCTGGCATCCCCGAGCGTGTCCCCTGTGCGTGTCCCCTCCCAGTCCCTGTCAGCCCCGGGGCAGCGCCGGCGGCTCCGAGCCCCTGCCCGCTCCGGCCGCGCTCGGTCTGGAGGGGAAATTGCAGCGACCGCAGCGCCGGGCTGGCAGCGCCCCGGGCCCCCCGGTCCCCCCGCTCCCCCCCGGCCGCCGCTGGCGCCGCGTTCCCCGCCCGTGACCCGGCGGCCCCGGGGCCCGGCGCCCGCCCCCCGCCGCCCGCGCCGCTCGCGCTGCAGCTGCAGACGGGGCCGGCGCCGGGGCCGCTCCGCACCGACCGCCGGTTTCCTGCCCCGAGCCTCGGGGGGAGCGGCCCCGCCGGCGCCTCCGCCCCCGGCCTGCCCCCGGCATCCAGGCCGGCAGCCAGGCATCCATCCGTCCGTGCGTCCGTCCGTCCATCCTTGCGTCCATCCATCCATCCATCCCTCCATGCGTCCATCCATCCATCCATCCAACCATCCACCCGTCCGTCCATCCCTCTGTCCATCCCTCCCTCCCTCCCCTGGCATGCAGGCAGGGCTGAGTGCCCTCCCCAGGGCCGAGGTGCAGGCACAGCCGTGGGGAACCAGGGGCTGCCCCTGGGCCTTGTGCCCTCACTGAGGTTTCTGGATGGGAGAATGGCACAGGTCCCTTTGGTTTTGGGGAGGCACAGGCTGCCAAACCTTGCAGAGTGAGCTGCCAGTGTGAGCAGGGCTCTCCCTGTCAGTTCTGGGCAGGCACAGTTCGTGTTGTGTGGAGCCCTGGACGGGTTCCAGTGTGTTCTGGTGAGCCCCATTCCCTGCAGGGCTCCCTCTGCTCCAAACCCACCCCTGCATCCTCTCCATCTCTGCTTTTAGCCCACAGCCAGGGCTGGAGGGGAGAGCAGCTCTGAATTCCTTTTTGAGGAACCAAAATGCCTCAGATCTGTGAACTCCAGCATCACAGGTCCAGGATAACAGTGGAGGGACAAACCTAACCACTGGATTGTTTCCCTTACAGACAGAGTGTGACCCTTGCTGTGTGTTCCATTCTCTGGTGCAGCCTCTGAAGGGGAGTCAGGGCTGGAGGCTGGCTGCTCCTCATCCTCTTTTCCCTCTGTTTCCCGTGGATATTTGGTTTCTGGGATAGGGTTTCTGTTGGAAATGTGGCCCTTAGGGGGTTCAGGTAGAGAAAACCCATCTCCCCATGTTGTGGCGTGGCCACATTCAAACAAACAAACCAAAGGAGCCGTAAATGATGTTTGGGTTTGCCCCTGTCCATCCCATGCAGAGGCACAGGGTGGCTGTGCAGGGCTGAGCACTGGCAGTGGGAATTCATGTGCTGGGCCGTGTTTTGCTCTTGGTTTGATTTATGTGTGATTCCTTTATTTGCTGCTTTTTGCTTTCCTCATCGTGGTTGTTGTTTTCCTTTGCTGCCCTGAGGTTCAGGCCCCAGTCCAAGACTTTGTCAGGGATGGAGGGAGGAACTCTGTGCTGCTAACTTCAAAAATGCCAGTGAGGAGCAAATCTGTTTGTTAGCCCTGAGGTTCCTGAGCCTCCTCCTGGGCCCTGTTTGGGTGGAAGGCAGCTCTGTGTGTGCCCCGAGTGGGCTCTGTGTGTGTGCCCAGAGTGGCTCTGTGTGTGTGCCCCCAGAGTGGCTCTGTGTGTGCCCAGAGTGGGCTCTGTGTGTGTGCCCAGAGTGGCTCTGTGTGTGTGCCCAGAGTGGCTCTGTGTGTGTGCCCAGAGTGGGCTCTGTGTGTGTGCCCAGAGTGGCTCTGTGTGTGCCCAGAGTGGGCTCTGTGTGTGCCCAGAGTGGCTCTGTGTGTGTGCCCAGAGTGGCTCTGTGTGTGTGCCCAGAGTGGGCTCTGTGTGTGCCCAGAGTGGCTCTGTGTGTGTGCCCCCAGAGTGGCTCTGTGTGTGTGCCCAGAGTGGCTCTGTGTGTGCCCAGAGTGGCTCTGTGTGTGTGCCCAGAGTGGCTCTGTGTGTGTGCCCAGAGTGGCTCTGTGTGTGCCCAGAGTGGCTCTGTGTGTGTGCCCAGAGTGGGCTCTGTGTGTGTGCCCAGAGTGGGCTCTGTGTGTGTGCCCAGAGTGGCTCTGTGTGTGTGCCCAGAGTGGGGTCTGTGTGTGTGCCCAGAGTGGGGTCTGTGTGTGTGCCCAGAGTGGGCTCTGTGTGTGCCCAGAGTGGGGTCTGTGTGTGCCCAGAGTGGGCTCTGTGTGTGCCCAGAGTGGCTCTGTGTGTGTGCCCAGAGTGGCTCTGTGTGTGTGCCCCCAGAGTGGCTCTGTGTGTGTGCCCAGAGTGGCTCTGTGTGTGTGCCCAGAGTGGCTCTGTGTGTGTGCCCAGAGTGGGCTCTGTGTGTGCCCCCAGAGTGGCTCTGTGTGTGTGCCCAGAGTGGCTCTGTGTGTGCCCAGAGTGGCTCTGTGTGTGCCCAGAGTGGGCTCTGTGTGTGCCCCCAGAGTGGCTCTGTGTGTGTGCCCAGAGTGGCTCTGTGTGTGCCCAGAGTGGCTCTGTGTGTGCCCAGAGTGGCTCTGTGTGTGTGCCCAGAGTGGCTCTGTGTGTGTGCCCAGAGTGGCTCTGTGTGTGCCCAGAGTGGGCTCTGTGTGTGT